CCTGAGCCTGAGCAAGCTGTGGGCCGGGTGCAGGCCTGGGCCCGGAGGGCTCTGCCCAGCCGAGGGGCACCGGAGGCTGCCTGCATCTGGCAAGCTTGAGCCTGAGCTTGAGCCTGATCCTGACCGAGCCGTGGGCTGGGCCCTGAACTGGGCTGAGCACCTGCATGATGGGTGTGGGGTTCTGCAGCCCTCCCACAGCCGCCACAGCGTGGCCTGGCTCCAGCATGAGCCTGCTCCCGGCTCCTGTGGGCACAAAGCAAGTTCAGAGCTGCTCTCCAGCAGCCCCAGGCAGCTGGGCCTGCTGAGCCGAGCTGGGCCAGCACGGGAGGGCAGTGGGTCACCTTCATCTGGCACTGGCTGTGAGGGGATGCTGCCAGCATGCAGCCCTGGTGCTGGGAGAGGTGTGGGAGGCCACAGCGTTATCCTGGCATGACCCACTGGCTGACTGTCTCTTGTCATCCTGACGGACTGCCAGGGGGTGACTCAGTCCCCTGTCCTGGATCTGCCCCAGGGGGACACAGTGCTCCGGGCAGCTCTCCCTGGTGCTCGCCCAACAGTGGCACTTGTCAACGCCCAGCTGCGCCTTCCCTCCACCCATCCCATGCCGCCTCCCAGCCCTGCCCTCCCTGCCCACGTACTTTTACTCTTGATCAGAGCAGGCTCAGGACAGTGGCAGAGCTGCCATGGCAGCCAATGCTTCCCACTAGCACAGCTACCTCGGGGTGGTCGTGTCGTGTGAGAGGCAGTGGCTGGAGCATTTCCAGTGGACTGAGGACATTCTGCTGATCCTGCTGGAGGGTGTCCATGCCAGGGAGCTCCACTTCTTCATGGACTATGCCAGGAACCTGGAAGCCTTCGAGGTCGCTCTCTGTGCCTCTGAGGATGCTGTCACCATGGAGGTCCCCCTGCAGATTGACAGCGATGCCCTGCGGGTGCTGGTGTGCCAGCCTGGTGATGCTCCAGCCGGGCACTGGCTGAGACTAGGCACTTGCTATCTGGAAGTGCCCTCTCCAGGGACTGACTTGGATGACTGGACCGGTGTGATGGAGCAAGGAGTTGGTGGAAGGTGCCTGGTTCTGGGCGAAGTCGTCCAGCACCTGAAAGAGCTCCTTGTTTCGTCCATTGTGTGCTGCCAACGCCGCTTCCTGCTTCAGCCAGGTGTGTATGCCGATGCGGTACTTCCCTGGCTGGGAGCTGCTTCCAGCACAGCTGGGGAGCCCAGCTTGGTGGTGATCCCTGCACAAACAGGCCTGCATGAGCAAGCAAGCACCCTGCCATGCGCTGGGACAGGCTTTGCCCTTAGCTAAGGAAGGGGAGATGGAAACTACTCCCTGCCATCTAACGACAGCAGCATCATCCTTGAGCATCTTCACCCTGGGCTGATGGCACTCTCCTTGGTGGGTGGCAGCCCCCCACAGGGTTCACTCGCCCCTGCAGTTAGTTCCCAGGGACGGTTTGCTCAGGGACTTGGTGTGTTTGGTTCACCTTAACTGCGTTTCCCCTGTCTCTCTGGGCTTCCAAGTGCCCCCTGCTCCCTGGAGCAGAGTATTTGGAGGGTGAGCTGGAAATCCATCGGGGCTGCACTGGGACCTTGGGGCATGGTTCTGACCCTGTGCATACACAGGCCCCAGTATCCCTGGGAAGGACATGGTGGGGAAGGGACCCTGGGAACGGCCGTAGGGATTCTATCAGCTTCTTCATGCCTTTCCATCTCCAAAGGTGCTTCTTGAAGTAAATCTCAGCCCTGATGTAAGGGTGATGTGCAAAAACCAGCAGGTCTGAAAGTCTCTTAACCCAGCCTCAGCAAGCCCACCATTCCCTCCTTCCTCCACAGCCAAGCCAAAGCCCTTCATTTTCCTCTGCCCCCATAACCTTAGACCTTTCCTGGTCCAGTTTTCTCGGACCACATTGTTTTTCTTGGCACTATTCAACCACCCAGCAGCATGGCCCTGTTTGGCCACTCGGGGCTTCCTGCTGTGCCCACACCCGATGGCCTGGCCCTGAGCCCCACTGGAGCAATGCTCCTTCCCAAAAAACACCCCAGTGGGGACTGGGGAAGGACTTTCACCAGGAATCATAGCCAAAGTGCAGCATTGGAAAAGGGTGAGTTGAGCGGGGTGGGATGTGCCCATGGGCATTATGGCACATACCCGGTTCAGCCTGCGTGACCGGCTGTGGTAACCTCCTAACCACAGCCAAACGCTCTGCATCTAGGTGACCTCAGTGCTGAAAATCTGCAGGAAGATGCCATGGAGCTCTCCCTGCTGATCCGCAGTGGCTGGAAGACTGTCTGCTTTGACTTCATCCCTGTGGTGAAGAGACAGCAGGAGTTGCTCTGGCTGAAGGGGTGGCAGGGCGACAGGGGCTTCCCCAAAGGCAACCTCTGGAAGGCCAAGGAAGAGGCCCACTTTGTCCCTGCCTCTCCCCATTGCTGGAGGTGAGCAGCTCGACTGCGCACATAGCAGGATGACCCTGCCCCAGGGAGCCCCCGAGGCCAGCAGCACTGCCAAGTGTAGGCAGAAATGGAATGGGAAAGTGGAAGGACATGCCAACAGGGGATGAAGTCACCCAGTCATGATGCCCAAACCCCCTGCCCCGATGTTGAGGGACAAATCTCAGCCAAATTTCAGGCAGCTCAAGAAAAGGCAAGGGCCCCCCCAAATTGTTCGCAGGAGCTGAACCCTGGCCGTGTGGAGGCTGGCAGCTCTTAGATACCTGCTTGGGCTTCAGGAGCAAGCCTGGGCATCTGGCAGCAGCAGGGGGACGAGGTGCCTCCCAGGGCAGGCTGCAGGAGGGAATGGGGCCAGGGTGAAACACATCTCACCTGCTGGCACAGCCACCCAGCCCCAAGGAGGGGCTGAGCATCCGGTTGGATCAGCCCAGGCTTATTTTGGGCACAATGTGGTCCAGCTGGATGCTCGGCCCCTTTTTGGCATCCAATACAGCCTCTGCTCCAGAACGGCTGGCAGCCCTTCCCACTGCACGTAGGGGAGCACAACCCCGCTTCACCTCCCCTCTTGTCCCTCCCCAGGAGGCAGGAGCTGCGCAGCAGCATCCCCATCACACTGCGAATCTCCTGGGTTCCTCTTCACCAGAGGCAGGTGCAGGAGGTGGATCCAGGCTGCTGCGTGCCTGGGGCCACATGGGTGGCCCCAGGGGGATCCCCATGCACGCCAGGTCACTGCAGGTATCCTCTTCCCAGCTGGGAGGATGCAGGTCTCCATCCTCCCTCTCACCGGACTCCACTATCTCTCACCAGAACCTCCACTCACCTCCCCATCCTGAAATTGCTCCAGGCAGTGGACATGCTGAAGGGACCCTGTCTGAACAGACTTCACCTGCATAATCAGCTACATGGCCAGGACTGGGGAGAGGAGGGTGGGAAAGACAGTCTCACCTTCAACCACCTGAAGGTAGCTAGGTTCTGCTGGCAGGACAGCAGCTCTCTGGGAAGGCAAAGCCAAGGCTGCCCTCCTGCACCCCACCATGGTCAAGTCACTGCCGGAGGAAGATCCCAAGCAACTAGCCCATGTGCCTGCAGTGTTTTGGGATGTACCAACCCATGGCTGCATCTGGAAAGGGTGCATGCTGCTAGCCATGATTAGAGGGGTTTGACCCTTCTTCCTTGCAAACGGTAGGTACTTGCTGGATTGAAGAGCAACCTCCAGCCTGAAACAGACTTCAGGCTCTGTGCCAATGTGCCAGGCATCCGCTGGCACAGGCTGCCTGTGTCTTCAGGGGCCGTGCTGGGGATTGCATTGCTGTGCCTGCCATGCCACTGGTCGTCCTGCGCCCCAGTGTGCTGAGAGGTGCCCGTGCAGGGCTGAGGGTGGTGTTTCCTCTGACAAAACCCTCCTCTCCCCACCCAACCTGATTTCGGCACTCTGGACCCATGCCAGCTGATGACACCGGTCAGGAGAGGGGCCATGGTGAGGTCAGAACCTGGTGGCACAATCCAGGTGTGTCCTGTCTTGTGGCCACTCACTGGGCTAGGGTGGAGAAGGAGGCACAGTTGTCCTCTGCTGAGAGAATGGCTCCAGCTCCAAGTAACCCAAGTCCTGTGGGTTTTGCTTTATCTCGTGTTCTTTGATTTTTTTGATTTTTTTTTTTTTAAGAAAGGGTATAGTTTGCATCTGTCCTTGTGCATGTTGTTTCAGAGCTGCTGCGGAGCTGGGGCCTGCCTCAGAGTTGAGACAGGGGCTTTTTGGGGAGTGTGGCAAAGGTTCAAAACTAAGGGCTGGTGGGGCATCACCTGCACCTGCAGCAACCAAAGCAGCAGCTCCGAGAGCTTGCGCAGCCCTGAGTGCTGCGAACATGTTGTCCGTGTTGAGGTCTCAGTCCCATGGGCGGTTGCAGGGTGTGAAGGCACGGCCTTTGTGGGGAGCGCCATATCCAATGCCTTTCTCTCCCTCTCTGCAGATGGTGCTGCTGTGGAGCATGGAGCTCTTCCCCTCCCCAGAGTACAGGACCTGGAGGGCTCCATCTGTAAGTTCTTGGTGATCCTCCTCCACTGCCTGGCCACCTGGCACTTGCCCCACTTCCTGTACCCAGAGCAAAACCTCTTCCAAGGAGAGGCCCTGGACCTCGCCTTTCTCTACAGTAAGGTGGAGAGCTTCGCCTGGGACCCTCGACACTTCCTTCGCTTCCGTTTTGGCTTCCCTGCACGCGCTGACAGCTGGCACTCAGATCCTGGCACCCAAGCCCTCCTGTACCTCCCCGCAGAGGATGGGTCTTACCGGGATCCAGCCTACTTTGACATCCTGTTCAGCCACGTAACATCAGCCTCTCATCTGGTCTTGCGTGGCAGAGAGCAGAAAACACCCAGACTGGGCAGCTTAGGCTGTGCTGGGGTTTGCTCCCCCCAAGGCCTTCTGGGCCCTGGCAGCCGCTGGCCGATGCTGCCCAACCCTGCCATGGAGGCTGCAGGAGGCTGGTGATGTTGGGGTGCAGGACTCAAGCAGAGTGGGAAGCCCTCTCCCCTCACCCCCCACCTGCCTCTGCTCAGTTCCAGGTGTACCAGATCCAGGATAGCGTATGGCACTCAGCAATGTGCCAGCTACTCTCTAAGATCCAGCAAGAAATCCCCCAGCAGAGCTGAGCAAGACCCCGCTGCCACCCCATCTAGGCGTATCAAAACTCAGGGGGATGCAAGGAGAGCTACGGGGCCAGGGAGCAGCAGGCTGCCACATTGCTTTATTGAGGAAAGATGGTACCAGGGAGCGAGCACATCTGCTGCAGCTGGGGATGTGCAGCCTCTCAGCCCCCCCGTAGAGCAGGCTGCCGGGGCGGGTGTTTCATCTCAGGGTGCCTAATCTGAAGGGGACAGATGGCATCCTGGGGGATGCTGCTGGGCTCTGGTGCAGGGATCACAGAGGGTGATGGTGGTGGGAGGGGAAGGAACCTGTGGTCAGATCCTGCATCCAGCCCTCATGTCAGCTTGCAGCGGGGCCAGGGGAAGGGGAGGAGCTGGGAGGCCAGGCCATCAGGGTGAGGAGTGACTCTGCAGGGGGCGTGGTGGGGGGGACCCGACTGGGAGAAGGGATTTTGAGCCACATCCCCGTGTTTGCCAAGCTGCAGCCCTCACCTCCACGTCCCCTGCTCTTCCAGCTTCTCCTTCCCACTCTGGCTTGTGTTGCTGGGTGTTGCAGTGTTGTCTGCCAGAGTCCCGGGGAGGCAGCTAAGCCCCTCTGCCTGCTACCTGCCTGCAGCCAGGCATGAAGGCAAGTGCTGCGCCACCTTGTCCGGACTCCCCCTTTGCAGAGGTGCTCACAGCCTGCTGCTGCTGCGGCAGTGCCTGAGGGCATCTCGCAGGGCACAAAGCACACGGTCCACGTTGCTGCTGGTCGAGTTGCAGCCCATGAGGCCGATTCGCAGGACCTGGGAGGAGAAGGGTGAGCGTCTCCCTGCAGCACCCACCTTTGTGGCCGTGTCCTGGCACCGTCTCCAACAGAGCGCAGGCTCCCACATGAGGCAAGGGGCATGTGAGTAGCGACCATGCGGGCAGCTGGGCATGAGTACATGTGCCCAACTGCCTGCTCGCTCCTGTATAACACGTGTTTCCTGTAAAGACATGTCACCCTGCGAATTATGTGCATGGTTATTCAATTACACTCAGCAATTGTGTGTGGTTAGGAGCTGCTATTTGTTGCTGCAGGCGATGGGACGCATGCAGCCGTGTGTTCGTTGCTTGCAGCCAGAGAGCACCAGCTAATCATGGGGAAGGCTGCCCACAGCTGGGTTCAGTGCCTGATGGCCAGTGGGAGGGGAGGACACTGCCCACCTTGCCAACTGAGGGGCCCAGGCCCCCAGCAATCTCGATGGCATGGTTGTCCATGAGAAAGGCTGTGATCTCCTTCCAGTTGTAGCCCTTGGGCACCCTGACAGTGGTGATGGTGGGCAGTCTTGCCTTCTGTGGAAGAGAGAAATTGGGTTAAATCTGCATCTCCTGGCTGTGGCCCTGTCCCTGCAGTGAGCCTGCCAGCCTGCTGGGAGAGAGCATTGCTGGAGTGGCCAGTTTTTTCTCCAGCATCAAAACCTGCCCAGGCACATCTCCAGCCACACGAGGGCATGTCCTCATACTGCCCCTGCAGCATGGTGGTGGCTTCACTCCACACCCACCTCCTCCTTCACAAAGAGCTCAAGCCCCATGTTGCTCAGCCCCTGGCACAGCTGAGCACAGTTGACCTGGTGGCGCTCCCATGAGCTCTCCAGACCCTGTGGGCAGAGAGGAAGGAGGAGGTCCCTGCTGGCAACAGGGACCTCCTGGCACCCACCACTCCCCCAAGCCCCACCAGCACTGCCGGTGGCCCACTGCCTGCCTGGCACCGCTTACCACCTCTGCCAGCATGGCCAAGCCTTCCCGCAGGCTGAAGAAGCTGTTGATCGGTGCTGTGTGGTGGTACCTGCAAAACCCAAGGGGCACCCAGGTGGATTCGGCCCAGCCTGCAGCAGAGCAGTATTCCAGCTCGCAATGTGGGGGTATCGGGGCATGGCATCCTCCCTCCTCTTCACTCAGCACAGAGGGGATGCAAATCCCCCAGAGCTGCTTTGCAACCAGCAGACAAGGTGGTGGGGAGACAGAGCCTGAGCCCCACAGGGCAGGCAGCCCCTGAGCTGGGGCGAAGGCTGTGGGTGGGATGGCTGCAGCCATCTCCCCCGGGACAGCTTGCTCTCACCTTCGTGGCTCCCCGTCGCAGCCCCAGTAGTTTGCCAGCCAGCCCATGTCCAGGTAGAAAGATGGGGGCTTCGTCTTCCTCCTCAGCATCTTCTCCCTGGTGAAGCAGAGTGCTGGGGAGGAGCCAGACCTTGACCCCACTAGCTCTGCAGTGGGGTCAGTCCTGTTGGGCCCCCCCCCCAAAACGAGTGCAGAGGTTGGCTCCAGTGCTCATCACTGCCCAAGGATGGGCTGGGCTCTGACCCCACAGGGCTGCTGGGCGAGCTCTCCAGAGTGGGGCTGGAGCAGATGGCTGGCAAAGGGAGTGTGAGGGGGTGACAGCCTTCCCCCAGCCCTCTTGCCTTTCCCCCCAGGGGGACAGGGCTGCACTTACCTGGCTCGCTCGCTGAATGAGATGGGGGCACTGCCAGGGGGGGCGTTGAGGACTTTCTGAGACCCTGAGTATAAGACATCGATCTCTGCCCGAGACAGGAGGCAGCTCCTTAGAGACGGGGGCTCCCAGTGGGGACACACTGAGCCCCTCCAACCCAGCTGCAAGTGGTGGGTGAGAAGCACAGGGTGGCACACACTGCAGGTCCCCCTGAGGGGAATGGGCTTTCTGGCTGCAGCTGGACCACTTTCTGATGCTGCTAGCTTGGATCATGAGCAGTGAGGCTGATCCCACTGTCCTCCCTCCTTCCCCTGTCCCCTGGGTGCCTCCTGTCCCCTCCGTGACCAAGATAGCACTGTGGCTCTTACCCTGCTGGTCCATGAAGATGGGGGCTCCCCCAAGCGATGCCACTGCGTCCACGAGCAGCAGGCAGCCATGCCTGTAGGAGGACAGAGCTCACCCCGGTGTCCCTGCCACCCCCTCCTGCCAGCTACTCTTGGCACCCCTCTTTTTCCAGCCCTGGCATCCTGGTCCCCCCAAGGCTGTGTGTCTCACTGGCACAAACTGCTTCCAGCACAACAGAGTCAGAGGAGAGCCCTGGGCAGGTAAATCCCTGTGCCCCAATCCCCAACAGCAGCCTTAGAGTACCGCAAGCCCTCACGGGTGCTCGCTGTGCACTGACCGGTGGCACAGTTCGCCCAGTCTCTCCAGTGGCTGCAGCACCCCTGTGGAGGATTCGCCATGGGTGATGAAGAGCACGGAGGGCTTGTGCCGTGCCAGTTTCTGCATGAAACAGAGGGGAAGGTGACTGCCCCCGGGGCTGGCTCACGCCTGCCACTCCACACCGTAGCTGGCACTCACATCCTCGATGTCCGATGGAGTGAAGTACTCGCCCGGGCTCTTCAGCAGCTCATGGACATCAGCTCCTAGAAGAATTTGGGCAGAGGGAGAGCAAGATTTGGGCATGCCTCCCACTGGGCAGCCACCTGCTCTGCAAGGGAATCGGTCATGCATGAACCAGGAGCACAGCCACCCACCAGGGTCCAGCCTCCTGCAGATTTACTCAGCAGAAAAACCATGAACAATCATAAATGGAGGGGCATTACCCCCCCAAAAAAACGGAGCACTCTCCAACTGTGGAAGCCATGTCACTGGCTACTGCCGCCAGGATGGGGATAGCAAGCCAAGGATCACATTCTGGTATCCCACCCACAAGCCCGGTCCTCTGAGCCCCACCAGTGCCATCCGGCTGTCCCTAGCATACCCAATCTCCTGGAGATGTCAGCAGCGCGTTGTCCCCAGATGCCATTGATGGCCACCAGCGCAGTGTCACCATGCTCCAGGAGGTTGATGAGGGCAGCCTCCATGGCACAGTGGCCAGTGCCACTGATGGCCAGGGTCAGCCGGTTTTGCGTCTGGAAGGCATACTGGATGCCTGCCTTGATCTCGTCCATCACCTGCCATGGCAGGGAAAAAACTGGCACCGCTATTGCCCCCCTCATCCCGGCAGAACTGTCCCAGCCCCTTGTGGGGGCTGAGGGAGAGGAGGGGAGGAAGGCTGGGCAGGGGAAACTCACCTGTAGCACCTCGGGGTGCATGTGGCCCAGGAGCTGCCGACCGCCTGCAGCCAGGATGCGGGAAGGCACGTTGCTGGGCCCTGGCCCAAGCAACAGCCTGTCTGGCACGGCCAGGGGCCGGAGCAGCCCCTGGGGTGGGGGGACGCGGAGCAGGCTGGTGGCCATGGTGCACCTTGCCATCCCCAGGAGCTGAGCCCAGAGGAGAGGAGCCGTGGCAGATGCCTGCACAGCACCCAGCACTGTACAGCAGCACACCCTGTGCCAGCAGTGTCCAGAGTCCCCATGGACCCTGACCCTGGGGCTCAGTGCTCCCCCTGCCAGCCTGGACTCTGCCCCTGACCGCCTCCTCCTCCAGTTAATATGCCACCAGCACAGTCCCTGCTATCTTGGCACCCTCATTTTCCGGGGGGTCCCCCTTGCTAGTGCTGGCGGGGTTGCTCCCCAGGCACATCAGCCTCTGGGACTGGCAAGCACCCACACAGACCCCATTGCCACGGCCCACCGGATGCCATGGCTGATGGTTCCCAAGACCATCCCAGCAGGTGGGATCCCTGCTCCTGGACATGCAACTCCTGTGCCATGGATGGTTGTGCTGGGACTGGCCCAGCACAGCCTCTATGGTCGTGACTCCTCAGCAGCACAGAGCTCTGTCGGCTGGGTCTCGCTGACTGAGGACCTGCCTTGCAGCAGGGCACCTGGCCAAGTGACAGTCACCTAGAGGAAGCTGGCTATCGGGATTGCACAAGTGCAGAGCCACAGGACATGGCTGCAGCCCCTGCTGCAGCAAGCTGTGCTCTGTGGGCTCAGCCTGGCTCGCAGCCATCACAGTGTGTCCTGATGATGCCACAGGCCATGCTTGCCTCTTCAATATGCTGTGACTGTCACCTGCTATGTGTGCCCATGGTCCATTGTATCATGCCCACCCTCTGACACGTTCTCTGCCATCTGTACACTGAAATGCAAACGATCTGTCTGCT